AGATGTAATCATGCAGCTGGAAGTTTTTTGGAAACACGTTACAATAGAAAGCTTGTTCACACAATTCAAATTGGTTTGTTAGGGTTCTATATGAAGTTTAAGTAGTAAAAAGAAAGCTGGAATGATAAGCAAGACTTTGTCATGACTTTATACCGTATCTGTCTTCATTAAGGACTTGGTGTTTATCCCTGTGGCTATGAAGGGAAACGGAAAGGGTCGAGTCAGACAGAGTATTTTAGTATAAGGCAGTAGGATAGATGTGGTGTCAGAGGTGTATTTTCATACAGATTTGTGTGTGTACATAGAATGCACAAATGCATGAAAAAATACTCCAATTTTATAGTAATATTGAAAATGACATTTTAAAAATAAAGCGTGAAACAAACTTAGTAAAATTTATGTCTTGCCTATATTATGCTTACATTTTAAAGTCTATAATGCTGTATTTACTTAATGAGATAGATATTCTAACATTACCATACAAGAAATACTTAAGAAAATAAAGCCAAACTTGTGTAGACATTCAGATCATGTAGAGCCTCAGACAAATATTTGTCTAAAGTGTTTTTACAAGCACATACTGATGCCAAACTTTTCAGCAACTTCTATTACTGTTGTTGAGAAATGAAACACTTGTGCTACTTCCAGTATCCTCAGGTCTTCAGAAGATAGACTTTCCTTTTGCTATCAAGCACTTGGTCATTTGATGTTTCCAGTTATATGGGTTCATTTTATCTTTTGGCCACATTTCTCCAGTTCTCTTCTCAAGCCGGGCCTCTTCTTGAACTGTTTCTGAGACTCAAATTCCTCTTTGCCCTTGTTCCCAATGCCTCCTCTCATAGGGAGCCACCTTGCCACAGTCTTATCCAAATCCTGCTATTCTTCAGGACTCCTCTTGTGTCCTGAAGTTATAATGATCTACCACCTAATGTCCCTTAGCATTTAGGGACATTAGTATGGTATTTAGTTCTTAATTATCCTTTAAATATATACATATATACATATATACATATATATGTATATATTTAAAGGATATTCTCAAAGACTCTCACAATACACGTTTGAGCCTCAGATAAAATACTTTTATCCAGTTCAGTTAAAGGTTAGCTAGAAAACCTAGGTTTTGTAAAATACAGACAAGTTCAAGAAAGCGCATGGAAGAATGCAGGGAACACTTGAGAGAAATAACCACAGTAGTGCTTCAGTTTTGTGAGTGAACAGGAAGTGAGGCCGTGAAAGGGAGGGAGGTAACCCAGTAGGAGTGGGAACCAGAGTGGAGAGTGCCAGGTTGCTTACTAATTTTTTGGTTACTTTTTAGTTATGCTTCTACTAGAGGCCCAGTGCATGAAATTCATGCACGGGTAGGGTCCCTAGGCCTGGTCAGCAATCAGGCCCAATCGGAGCCTTCCGGCTGCTGGCTGCTAGCTGGGGCCTTCCTTCGTTCTTCGCTGCACCCTGGTGGTCAGTGCACATCATAGCAAGCAATAGAACTCCTGGTCTCCTGGTCGAACTCCCGTGGGGACACTTTGCATATAGAGATTAGAGCTTTGGAATCTGTTTTTCTGTTTAATAGACCATGGTTCATTTAAATTCGAACAAATGCAACATTGATATTTGGTGAATTGAAGAAACAATATATAAAAATTTGTGTGCCGAAACTGGTTTGGTTCAGTGGATAGAGCGTCGGCCTGCGGACTGAAGGGTCCCGGGTTCGATTCCGGTCAAGGGCATGTACCTGGGTTGCGGGCATATCCCCAGTGGGGGATGTGCAGGAGGCAGCTGATCGATGTTTCTCTCTCATCGATGTTTCTAACTCTCTAACTCTCTCCCTTCCTCTCTGTAAAAAATCAATAAAATATATATATTTAAAAAAAAAAAATTGTGCATATTGGCCAAATTACATTTCATGTTGTGATAGAAGTTGGTGGTAGTATAAGTAAACCTACACGTAAATCAATGTTAATGGTTGTTTTAAAAAGCACAGAGGCATCTAAATAGAGAAATGAAATATCAGAACCAGTAAGAGAAGACATGGCTGGCAACACCTTTATGTAAGTTATGGTAAATGTGCAAAATACTGAAATTCTTGCTAAATCATCAAATCAAAGAATAACATTCAGTGACAAAATAACAGATGCCACCAATATGAGGAAATGTACATGATGACAGAAATAAGGTAGGGAATAACTGTGAAACTTAATTTCATTGCCAAATATTTGCATGAAATGTCTCATTGAAAAATCTAAAAAGAGCAACTGGGCGTAAAACACTTATATATTCTGCATTTATTTTAGATAAGGAACAGTGTTGTATTAATTCACATAATATTTCCTTTCCTTCTAAAATGGAAAGGACAATATTTGCCCTAAAGTGCTGCTTCATTGCGGATCGTCGAACACAGAGGCCCTTGTGCAGAGAAGTTAATATGGAGTTGTGTTCTTCCATGGCCTGTACAATCATAGTATAGATAAAACAATCTATTTTATTAGCGGAAAAAGTAAGCCCTTTGTGGAGCACAGAAAACCTTAAGATTTTCTGCAATTTTTTAAAAATATATTTTATTGGTTTTTTACAGAGAGGAAGGGAGAGAGATAGAGAGTTAGAAACATCGATGAGAGAGAAACACCGATCAGCTGCCTCCTGCACACCCGCTACTGGGGATGTGCCCGCAACCAAGGTACATGCCCTTGGCCGGAATCGAACCTGGGACCTTTCAGTCCGCAGGCCGACGCTCTATCCACTGAGCCAAACCGGTTTCGGCTGCAATTCTTTTTAATGCAAGTCATTATCTTGAAAGAAACCAACCTAAGCTAGAGCACTTCCCATGCTGCAGGATAGTATTCTGACCTCAGACAGGAAACGTCTCCCTGGAGAGAGAACACCGAATGTGCCCCAGAGTGAACTGAGCCGGCACACTGTGGTCAGACAGTAAATATACATTGAATGAATAACATTTTTTTCTTTTGAAGTTGGTCCTTCTCCTTTTAAAAATGTCTATAGATAGTGTCATATTAAAATTACACGAAAAAATGCCCCAAATATATACATATTTAAAAAATTTATTTAAAAATATTTTTATTGATTTCAGAGAGGAAGGGAGAGGGAGAGATAGAAACATCAATGATGAGAGAGAATCATTGATTGGCTGCCTCCTGCACACCCCCTACTGGAGATTGAGCCCGCAATCCTAGGTATGTGCTAGGATTCAAACCGTGATCTCCTGGTTCATAGGTTGACGTTCAACCACTGAGCCATGCTGGCTGGACAAATATATACATATTTTAAAAGAATAATATTTTAATAGAATCATTAGGATAAATCTTTTTTTGCATTATTCCCACCCTCAAATGATATGTGCATGTGAGCTTGCACTGTGTGTGTGTGTGTGTGTGTGTGTGAGAGAGAGAGAGAGAGAGAGAGGGGGAGGGAGGGGGGAGAGGGAAGAAAAGGGAGTGAGGGAGAGACAAGGGGACAGATAGAAGTGGTGTAATTATTATTTTATTGTTTAAATATATTTTTATTGATTTCAGAGAGGAACGGAGAAGGGGAGTGAGGTAGAAACATCAGTGATGAGAGAGAATCACTGATCAACTGCCTCCTGCATGCCCCGCACTAGGGATCAAGCCTGAAACCTGGACATGTGCCCTGACCAGGATTTGAACCGTGACCTCCTGGTGCATAGGTCAACGCTTAACCACTGAGCTATGCTGGCCAGGTGGAACTGTTACTCTAGTTCTTCAAAATTTTATTGGTGGTATAATAAAATGAAATTGATGAAGATTTTTAGATTACTTAAGGTATCTTATAATGTTAATTCTTAGAGAATGAAATGAGATAGCATATTCGCAATCACCTGGACTTTTTGTATGGAAGATGCAACATACTTTAATCATTAGAACAAAGCAAAAGAAAAAGCCTCTTTTATACTTCTAAGGAAAATGTACTTTTTTAAAACATAGATTTATTTTTTCTTACTATTCAGCTTGGGAGAATTACTGTGTCTGAAAAAGTAATTATATTTTACTGTGGTAGGTATATGTGGATCAAGTTAAAATGAACTGTATATAATTAATGCAAAGCAGAATTATGAACTTTGATATTAGCAGATTTGGTATGAATAATGCAGGTTCTAAGGGATTATTTCTTCAAAAATATTTACTAAAGAGTTAACAGAGTGATCAAATATATATTTATATATTTATTACAGTGGAGTAAAATAAAATTGAAAAGATTAAGTCATATGTTCTTCCATGTGGAATATTTTCCTAGTTATAATGCAAATTTATTCTAAAAAAGGAAAGAAATGACTAGGCTTAGCTTCAATATAATAAAAGGATACCTACTTGTTATGAGTTCTTTTTATTGATCATAACCATATTTTACAGTTTTTAGCCCTCTGCCCACACTTGGTGAGCATTAAAATCCATTTTCTTGGCATTGAATGAAATGAAACTTGTTTATGTAAGTGATGCCTTTTCTTCTCCTGTAATTTATTGTTCACAAGGTTTTCAAAATGTTTCGTAGAAGGCTTTAAGAATATTTTATATAATGACTTTAATGCTGTGTCTCTTACATTTGCTTTGATGTTACATGACTTACTTTGTTAAATAATGATTGTCTAAAAGTTGGACTATGTCATGTATGCAATTAAAAGCTGTATTGCTCTTCTGTACATGCTGTACATGTAAGTGAACCCATGGGTCTCCCAAAGTGAGCCTTTAACATTCCAGAAGTTTTACTGTGCATCTGTTGCTGGCATCTAGCCTCCCACCCACACAGGCTAAGACTAACTAAATGAGGTTTATGCTAGTGTAATAAAGTACATAAAGATGAAGTAATAAAATGGGAAGACAGTTACTTTATTATGTGGTTGCTCGAATAGCTTCACTAGAAGAATGTATGCACATATGTGAAAGAAAATAGTGTGCGAGTAGGAGAACCCAGAAAGTAATTTATTCAAATGGCATTTTTTACATGTCTTTTTATGTTATTTATTCCAGATGGGATTCATACAGCTCAATGAGGACTTCATATTTATTGAACCACTCAACGATACAGTGGCGATAACGGGTCACCCACACCGTGTATATAGGCAGAAAAGGTCCATGCAGGAGAAAGTCACAGAGAAGCCAACTCCTCACAGTCATTACTGTGGTATCATTTCAGGTAATGCCCTCTGAAAGATTTCACTAACTATCCAATGTGGGGGCAGGGGGAGCAATATGAGATGGATCCTTCAAAAATTCTATCCATCCATCCATCCATCCATCCATCCATCCATTCATTTACTAGCTTTATCTTTTTCCTTTGGTTAATGACAAATCTATTTTCAGATTATTTTTTTAGTTTTCTGGGCAGTGCCATATTTTAATATCAAGAATATGAACTCAAAAGGACTTCAGAGATTAATATGTAACATACCCCACACGTCTCCTGAGCTGTGAAGTGTTTCTCTTGGGGTGTGGGTCACCTCACTGGGACAGAAATGACCCTGAGCATCCTGAAGCTGGCCGGTCCTGTGAGCTCCTGGCCTTATTTTAGTCCAGCTCTGTGAGAACGGCATAGCTACCTCTTTCCTTTGGCCAGAAGCATCTTTTACACTTTCTTTCTTTTTAAAAAATTTTAAACATTTTACCCAAGTAAAACTCACCTTGGAGGTCAAAATTATCAGAGGAATAGGAAGAAGAGTAAAAATTTCTTTGAATTTTATTCTCAGTATCAGAATACCCTAAATCTGGCAGTTTCAGAGGCACATAAACCTTCGTAGCCATCAAACCCTTGTCTCTGTCTGTCTGCCAGTACTTCACAGAAATGAAATGGTGACTATTTGGTGCACTTCCTTCCTTTGGCAGAGCTTTGTGGCATTAGCAAGAATGGCAGGGGAAATGAATGATTTCTCTTACATAAGTAGGACCTGGAATTCATAGCCAACATTCAGAAAATAATGAGTTTCCCTAGGACAAATTTTTAGACATCTAAACCAGACATCTCAGTGAATATTCACTGATATTAGATTAGAATCTGAGGAAATATGAATTTATTGAAGAATTCTTGGTGCAAAGGTTTTAAAATTCGACTTGCAGATTTCAAATTAGGTGTTAGTGCCAAGATATTAAGTCTAAAGTTGGTTATGGTTTTGAGGCAGATTTGGATATATGAATTATGACAAGAGTAACATTTGCAGAGGCCATAGGATGTTCATATCATCAATTGGGTAGGGGGTTTGGATTCAGAAAGGATTACGATATGTTTCTGTTTAGATATATTCATCTCAAATTAATCTGTGACTTCTGTTTTCTTTTGTGAAAGGTCATGATATCAGTCTTTATGGGAATCATCTTCAGAAGTGGTTAAGTGAATCTCTGTCACACCATTCGGTGTACATGATAAAGTCAATTTAAAAGGCACATCTCTCTTCTCCATTCTAAGAATGATAGCAAAAGGCATATAACAGCTGAATGGAAGTCATAGCACTGTGAACAAGCAACAGAAAGGCTTTTGCATGGTGAAATGACAACAGCCACCACAGCTTGAATTTAGTCCATTTAAGGAGATAGCCATGTATGAGTTATACTGTAGTAAGTTCCAGCTGTTATAGACACCCATGTACATGGGTGACAGAAAGCAGGCTTTGTGTGCGTCATTATGTATGGGGAAAAGACTTCTAGAAAGTTTTTAATTTTAATAGGTTTATAATGCATAAATACTTGGTTCAGATTTGACAAACATTTCTCATGAAGTTTTAATTATTTTTTGTTAGGCATAACTGTTATATGTTAATTGACCTGCACTCGCATACAAGAAGTGCTAACCTGTCATCAATTGGATGATTTACTGAGCTTACCTATTTTCAGTGGCTTTTTTAAAGCTTAGAATTTAAAAAATCATTTTAAAATTAACAGTTTATGAAATAAATATTTATTTACTTATACCGAGATGTCTAATTGTAGCTCTTACTTCAGGCTGATATATTCACATATTAAACACGTGATTCAAATTTGAATACAGTGCAGTATTTGCCTTTGCACAGTCCTATATAATAAAAGCCTAATATGCAAAGTGACCAAACGGCAGAATGACCGTTGGAACGACTGGTTGCTATGATGTGCACTGACCAGCAGGGCGCAGATGCTCAACGCAGGAGCTGCCCCCAGCCCACAGGTCCCAGGCCAGCCAAGGTGGGTGCCAGTGGGGGCCCCCCGATCACCCTGCTGGGTACCTTGCAGAGGAAGGCGACTGGTGGCAGCAGCGGAGGGTGGGGCTGGCGAGTGGGTGGCACCAGGCCAGCCAAGGCAGGTGCCAGTGGGGGCCCCCCAGTTGCCTCGCAGAGGGAGGTGACTGGTGGAGGCAGCAGGGGGCGGGGCTGGCGAGCAGGTAGTGTCAGGCTGGCCAAGGCAGGTGCCAGTGGGGGTCCCCCAGTCGCCCTGCTGGTTGCCCCACAGATTGGCCCTGATTGTTGGCCAGGCCTAGGGACCCTACCCATGCATGAATTTCGTGCACTGGGCCTCTAGTGGAATCATAAAGTTACTTGTATTCAACTTAGTCTTTGTCCAATTTCCCTTCTGCATTTTGATGCCTTAGTATATTATATTTACATTTATTTATTATATGAATATTTTTTCAAAACAGGGATCTTTATACTTTAAGATAACTTTGCTGTATTCTTTTATTAAAATATAATGTAGAGGAAGGGAAGGCACATGAGGTTGAGGGTCAGAGGCCCTGATTTTAAGGCACACCTTCACTCCCACTCCAGCTAGGTACTCTTTTTCAATTCTCTTAAAATTTTGAAGTTTAGCTTAATATTTGCAACATAGGCATGACCAGTCACCTCACAGAGATGTGGAGTTAAAAGGCACAGCTCATATTCTCAAGAGGCAAACAATGTATTATTTTATTTTAAATATTTTATTTATTGATTGACTTGAGAGAGAGAGGAATAAGGATAGGGGGAGAGACAGAGACATCGATTTGTTTTTCCACTTGTTGATGCATTCATTTGTTGATTCTTGTATGTGTCCTGACTGGAAATCGAACCCACAACCTTAGCATATTGGGACAATGCTTTTACCAACGGAGCTACCGAGCCAGGGCATCAGTGTATTATTTTGGACAAACTGGTGAAGGAGTAATTATACTGTAGTGTGATAAGAGCTGTGACAGCCTCAGTACACAAGATCCCAAGCTTCACTATTGGGGAGGCTGAACCTCAGAGATCAAATAAAACTTATCCGCACCTCAGGAAGAAAAGAGAACAGAGTACACAGGCTGAGTTAATGGACTTTGGGGTCCGACTGCCTGTTTTCACATTCATGTGCTACCGCTTCCTAGCTTGGCGACTTTAGAAAACTTTATCTCTCGAAAGCTCCATTTACAATATGCCAAATGGGGATAGTGATACCCGCAGCTCAGGGTTGTTGTCAGAATTAAGTGACATTATGTGTGCAAATGAAAAACATATGTGAAATTTTTAGTGCATGTTGTTAGTTGGGGAAAGTATTTAGGCAGAAGGAACAATGGCATCACCTCGGGGAGCTGAAGACACATGTCTGCAATGTGGTCACGAGGTACAACCCTGAGAAGGTAGCCATCGGCTAGATAATGAAGGGACTTATGTGCCGGGGGAAGGACTTTATCTGGAGGGCAAAATGTGGTCTTTGAAGACTTTTAGCAGGCAAGTGACATTATCAATATATATTCCTTAACATTTTAGTATAAATCATGAGTGTGTCTAGGACTCAGACCACTGCTGAAATCATTTCCATACACCATCCATAACTGTTGTGGAGATTATTGTCAGTATGTGGAGGATATTATGGAGATCATACATTGAGCCCCAGTGAATACACGTTTTAAAATTTATTCTCTGACTGGAAGTGTGTGATATCAATTATGTTGTCTTTATATTTGCATATGGTTGGAAAATGGCCTCAAGATTTAGGAGATGAAGAATGAGCATATTTGGTGTAGACAATGAAGGCTTCAAAGGAAGCAACTTAATAAAATGATTACTTCAATATGCATGATCTTCACACACAGTGGCTAACTTGTATGATAGCATCTACCATGAAGTTGAGATTCTTAAGAAACTTAGACTGTTCCAAGTAGCCTATCCTACATAATAAAAGCCTAATATGCTAATTGTCTGGTTGTCCGGTTGTCCGTTCCACCAATCAAAGCGTAATATGCTAATGATATGCTAAGGCCGCTCAACCGCTCGCTATGACGTGCACTGACCAACAGGGAGAAGACGCTCCGACCATTAGGTTAGCTTGCTGCTGGGGTCTGGCCAATCAGGACTGAGTGAGGAGGTGGACACCCTGGAGCCCTCCTGCAGTCCCTCCCCGGCTGGCCAACCTCCTGCGTCCCTCTCCAGCCCTGATCTTGCACCAATGGGGTCCCTCGGCCTGGCCTGTGCCCTCTCACAATCCAGGACCCCTTGGGGGATGTCAGAGAGCCGGTTTTGGCCTGATCTCACAGGCCAGGCCGAGGGACCCCACTCATGCATGAATTCGTGCACTGGGCCTCTGGTCTATATATATAAAAGCCTAATATGCAAAATGTTTCCTCAGGAGTTCTACCGACCAGGAGTTCGATCGCTTGCTGTGATGTGTGCTGACTACCAGGGGGTGGTGCAGAACTAAGGAAGGCCCTGGCCAGTAGCTGGCAGCTGCTAGGGACCCTACCCATGCACGAATTTTGTGCACTGAGCCTCTCGTTTAAATATAACATGCAAATATGGATGCTGCATAGTGACAGTTTGGGGCCAACGTAGCTGTCACTAACTGGAGCAACAAAGGGAACAAACTTGGTCTATTTACTACTCTTGGTACAAAGCCCCTCTCATTGTGTAGCTATCTCTGTGGTTTCTTTTGGGCTCTCCTTTTATTTTTCTTACATCTCTTCCTGAATGTGTCTCTTCCACATGTACACCCCCTACATGTAGGAGTTTCCTAGGACTTCCTCCTTTTCTTTCTACTTCTCACTCCACATGCTTTCCTGGGGGAGATAATCCAAATTCCACCTACTCTTTTGTAATTGGCTTCTTGTGCTCAGCCTTATTGTTAGGAGGCTCATCCATATTTTTGCACATTGCAGTAGTTCAGTGATGGCGAACCTATGACACACGTGTCAGAGGTGACACGCGAACTCATTTTTTTTTGGTTGATTTTTCTTTGTTAAATGACATTTAAATATATAAAATAAATATCAAAAATAGAAGTCTTTGTCTTACTATGGTTGCAAATATCAAAAAATTTCTATATGTGACATGGCACCAGAGTTAAGTTAGGGTTTTTCAAAATGCTGACATGCCGAGCTCAAAAGGTTCGCCATCACTGCAGTAGTTGGTTTATTTTTATTGGTATATAGCATTTCATTGTATGAATAGGCCAAAATGTCTTTATTCATTATACTATTTTTTAAAAAGATTTTAAAATTAATTTTTAAAAGGAGAGGGAGAGAAACATTGATGTGAGAGCAAAACATAGAGAAAACATCGATGTGAGAGTAACATAGCAATCGGCTGCCTCTTGTACACCCCCAGGGGATTGAGCCTGCAACCGGGGCATGTTTCCTGACCGGGAATCCAACCAGCAACCTTTTGGTGCATGGGACAACACCCACCCAATTAAGCCACACCGGCCAGGGCTATCCATTGTACTATTGATGGTTATTTGAACTATTAAGAATAGTGCTGCTTTGAATAAATTGTACATGTGATTTGCATGCATTTTTGATGAGTATATATTTTCGATCATTGATCATTGGGTGTGCAAATGTTCAACTTCAGTGTTTAGTATTTCAAAGTGTTTATTCTAATTTAAACTCCCAGCACGTATGTGTATGGGACTTCCAGTTCTTGTCACCACATTCTTGTTGACACCATACAATCACCTCTTTATTTTAGCCATTCTAGGGATTTTAGTTAATTTAATTTATTGTAACTTCAATTTTTATTTTCTTGAATGCTAATGAGATTGAGCATCTTTTTAAAAAATATTTTTATTGATTTCAGAGAGGAAGGGAGAGGGCGAGAGAGAAACATCAATGATGAGAGGGAACCATTGCTCCGCTGCCTCCTGCACACCCCACACTGGGGATCCAACCTGCAATCTGGGCATGTGCCCTGACTGGGAATCAGACTGTGACCTCCTGGTTCATAGGTCGATGTTTAACCACTGAGCCACGCCGGCTGGCAGCATCTTCTCATATGCTTTTCATCAGCCATTTGGATATCCTTTTAGTGAGAAATCACTGTTCTAGCCCTTCGCCAGTTTTCTAATTGGTTTATCTGTCATTGATTTAGAGTAGCTTTTATTTCTTTATTATGGAAAAACATTGTAAATATCTTCTCCCACTTGGTGGCATGCTTTTCATTAGATAGTGGCATGTTTTAATAAACAGAAATTTTATATTTTTATGTATTTAAATTTATAAATATTTTTATTTGTGGTTACCGCTTTTATTTGGCCCTGTTTAAGGAATCTTTATTACCCTTAGGTCAAACTTCTTTATGATCCTGATGGAAGGCAGAACCAAATCCTTTGTAACCCATGCATAATGTTTTAGTCGTTCGGGGGTCTGCCTGAAATTAGGATATGTGGTGAAGTCACTTCAGGCACTTCTTGCAAGTAGACCTTTATTTTGTTACTGGTCTCAAAAAGAAAATCATCTACCTTTTGTTTATTGAGTTATTTCATTTATACTAATTTTATTTTTTGTTTTGTTTATTGAGTTATTTTATTTTTACTAATGTGACTTATAAGCCATCAACAACTCTAGAAAGTAGGTGTTAGTATTATTCATTTTACAGATGAGGAAACTAAGGCTGATACAGTGATGTGAGTTCCCCAAATGGTAGATCTAATAAGTGGCAGAAGCCCATTCTGTCTGGTTCCAAAGTCATACTCCAATGCCAGATGCCCTTTTAGGTTCCACATGTGAAGGGGACGTACTTGGTTTTGCTCACCATTGTATCATCATTACATACTGGTACTTGGTAAACATATTTTGAAATTATTGCATAAACAGATTTTTAAAATTTACTTTGCCAAGATGGAGGCACATTTGAAAATTCATTTCTCTGTTGCAGATAAAGGAAGACCTAGATCTAAAAAAATAACAGAGAGTGGAAGAGGGAAACGATATTCATACAAATTACCCCAAGAATACAACATAGAGACTGTAGTGGTTGCAGACCCAGCAGTGGTTTCCTATCATGGAGCAGAGGCAGCCAGGAGATTCATTCTAACCATCTTAAATATGGTAGGCAAACTTTAAAGTGCGCTTGGAATTTTTTCAAGAAAACTCTAAGGAAGAAATGTGTGAGTATAATGAAGTTCTTTAAAAATTCATTACTGTTCCTTTCTTTTATTGACATCAGTAAAAACAATATATTTAGGTTTACCACATTGATTTGTCTCAAAAAAGATATCAACATAATCATTCACATCGTCTAGTAAAAACAACAACCCTTATTGTTCATTGTGATGTGGCAAAACTCTATTAGTCTTTTCTCTCTTTTTTTGTGCCCATCTTTTCATTCTCATTGGTAAAGGCCATTTGCTGAAGTGGGCAGAAATGGTATAATATTTTTTTATATGCATGGTCCTACCCAAAATACTCTGGATTTTGAGGTGGAATAAAAATGGAGGTTGGTAACCCATTGAGCTCTTATATAGGTATGTCAAATTAGATTTCATCTATAATACTAGTTAATGAGTAAGGCCTGATAGCTAAGAGCTAAATTTTTAGCCAGCTGAATCATTCGTAGCTAACTTTAGTTGACAATATCCGGACTGCAGAAATCTAGTTTGCACCTAGCATCTTATGGATGCTTACTGCCTAGTCAATCCTTTGACCTAATTGCGTATGGTTTTGAGTAACCTCCTTCAAGGCAGAATTAGGAGGTCATAGTGAAGAGTGGTTCTTAGAGGGAGAGTAAACATAAATAAAAGCGAAAGGCAAATGTCCATTTATAATTCCAGTTACCATATACGGGTGAGCACTACTGATTTCAAGGATAAATATGTTATGTTTTTGTAAAATTTCCATTTTTACTATTTTTGTTATTATTTGGTTTGTTTTCCCAGCAAAAAGATTTTCTCACACTGCAGTCATTTCAGTGTATGTTCAGCTACCCCCTGAACACTCCGCCAACTTTCAACTAGTGCTGTCTCTGAGAGCATGGGTTTGGTGTGTCAGTGTTATATTTTCTATTCCAAATTAAATAAATGCTAAATTTTACAAAAACTCCACATACCACATAAAAATTCACCTTGCTTTCCAGCATTTCAACATGCATCACGTTTTGAGAAAACCTGTCATAATGATGGTCTGAAACCATTAAGCAGCCATGACCCACAAGCGTGTCTTCATGGGATCTTTGAAGGGAGGAGCTTTGAAGTCGTGTTTCTATTTGACAGCTAGCCGGGGAGAGAAAAAAGACTCCAAGGAATGAATTGGGATGTGGCATAAAGCAGGCTGAGTTTTCAGGACTGTTTCTCAGAAGAAAGGAAGACACTGGCATTTTGTGAATTAAGAATGAAGACAAATTCTAGATTTTAGTTCCCAAAATTCTTCTGTTCGGTGTCATCAAAGCCCACCCTCCTCTCAGCACCCCATTGAAATGCCCAGACTAAAATGAATTAGCTAAGTTACTGCTTATTAAGCTAATTTTTTAAATAATTAAAAAATTAAATATATATAAGATTTCCCAACTAAATGGACACGGCTCCCATTTCTGGGCTTTTAGAAAAATTAAGATGTTTTTCAGTTTTATTTTAGGATTTTTTATTTTTATTTGTTTTTAGGTTTTTAACCTTTTCCAACACAAGAGTCTTGGTGCGCAGGTCAATCTCCGTGTGATAAAGCTTATTCTGCTCCATGAAACGCCAGTAAGAAAGTCTTGAGTTTTTTGTTCTAAATTAAGTGGGTGAGAAGTTGTGTTCAGCTACTTTTAAGTAAAGGATTTGTTAGGGATGTACTTTTTATTGACTTAAAATCCAGAAATATCCACTGAATCACTTAGAATATGCATAAACTGGTCTTTAGTTTTGGTTAATACCCCAACTTTTATTCCAAAAATGGAATGTTCTTAGTTTCCAAAGGGTCCTGACCACAAACCTTAACTTTCCAAAAGTAATTTTAAAAAGTCATATTTAATGACAGTTTTATTTTCTTCTCTAAACATGTACGTGTAAAGCCTTTTCTTATCTGCAGTTCATTTTAAATGAGGACTCTTCTGTGACATCATTTTAGCATGCTGCTTAGCTGGCACTTTGTAAAAACGTTCGTTCTTAAATTATAGAAATAATGAGTTACGTAAGTCTAAAAGTTCCACGTTCTCAATATTCATTGAACTTCTCTTTTTCTGAAGAGTGTTGGACAGGTTTTGTAATTATTGTACCTTCACAAAGTTCTAAGATTTTTACTTCAGGCTAAATTAATCCTTACTGTCTTCCAGGTTCTAATTAATGTTATGGTCAGCAGTTTGCTTTAGTAATTTATGGCGTCCCCTCAGTTTTCAGTGTTTTGTATATCAGAGAAAATTTGCCTTGAAGTGAAATCTCTTCTTTTACAGGCAGATCTATATATTGGGCACCATGGGGAGAAAATGCTGGAGAGTTTTTGTAAGTGGCAACATGAAGAATTTGGCAAAAAGAATGATATACATTTAGAGATGTCCACAAGCTGGGGAGAGGACATGACTTCCGTGGATGCAGCTGTTCTTATAACAAGGTAAATTTCCCAAAGCCACTTATGACATTCCTAATTCTACAGCCATGCTAGTAATCCTACCAATCCCTTCACTCAATGCTTTTACTCTAGATTTTGTGTTCCAAAAAACATTTGGCATAGTGATGTTAGTCAGTTTCCCTCAAATCTTAATAATCGGTTTCTGAACTGCCATTCTTTGAGTGGTATGTTGACAAAACATTTGGCTAGTTAACTTTTAAGTAAAATTTTGCTTCAATTTTTGATGTGAAGATATAGTCATTGATAGTGATAAGTGAAAACTATGGTTTAACTTAGTGGATCTTTGAAATTATGGGCCCAAACTATATATTTTTCAGTCATCACTATATAAAGTAATCCAATATATTAAATTTAGAAATTGACAAACTTTCTTGTTCAATCTGAGAAAAAAAGTTTCAATTAGGTTTTGAGGTAATTAATTTGAGCTGCGTTGTGAATGTCTGTAGTATTCACAAGTTTTGTAATGCAGCATTATGTCTAAATATAAGGAAGTGAAATAATGAGTAAAAAGATACTATCCAAGAGCATTGTATATTAATAATTATTGGTAAATGTATCTTACTTAAAGCTAGTAAAAATGACGATAATTGTTCAGTAACAACTTGATTTTAGTATCAATAGTGTTGACATTTCACATCACATAATACACAGTATTATGTGATTTAAATGTGATTTTTTTGAAATGAGTCTATTAAATGCATGATAAGCTTCTGTTGCTGAATCATAAAAAACTATTCTAGCGATACGTCTGTATTAATCAATGCATAATATGCTAATTAGACCAGACGTCCTTCCAGACGACCTTCTGGACAAAGCCGCAGTGGCAGGGGCGGAGGCAGAGGCCCCAGGTTGCCAGGGCGGGTGGGGGTGGAGGCTGTGGTGGATGGGGGCCAAGCCCCTTGCACGAATTTCATGCATCGAGCCTCTAGTAATTCATAAAGTGAAAAAAATCTTTATGTAAGAACATGCCTGGACTTCCATAGTTAGGAATACCTGATACTGTAATTAATAAGCATACAACTGTAAAATATTTATTTGGCATCTACTTTCAATCATTGGCAAATGAGCAATATAAGACTAAAACTCTTGAAAGAAGAAAATTTATTAACAACACCAGTCAATCCAGCTTTTGCCTTTTGACAATCAAAAAAAAATTTTTTTTAAATCCTCACTAGAGGAATGATGATATATTTTCCATTGATTCTAGAGAGAGTAGAAGGACTGGGGGTGGGGATTGGATCTGAAACCCAGGTACATGCCCTTGACTGGAAACGAACATGTGACCCTCTGGTGTGCGGGCTGATGCTGTCATTACTAACCAAGGCACAATTTTTTTAAAAAAATTCTCACCCAGGGATATGTTTATTGATTTTATAAAGAGAAAAGGAGGGAAGGAAGGCGAGGAAGAGAGAAAGAGAGAGAGAAACATCCATATGAGAGAGAAACCTTAATTGGTTGCCTTCCATGTGCTGTGCCCTGACTGGGAATTGAACTCACCACCTTTTGTTGTGTGCTCCAACCGAGCCACAGAGCCAGGACGATTTTTTGACTGCAAGCTGAAATCTAGGTAGAGCACAGTGGACTCTTCTGAAGGGAAAGGTGCTAAGAAGTCTGTGTGTAGATTATCTGTGAGACCTTTGAAAGATTAGTTTGATATATATAGACATAGACTGCCCAAAATTTATCAGAGTGCTGTTGCTATGGAGTTTAGATTTAAAAAAGATACTAGCAACTGAGCAGATTCAGGCCATAAGAGTAGATCAACCTTGTTAATACTTTATTATTACACCTGACATTTAGCTGAAAAAACAGGATGGCTGTGCTTTCCTAGTAGGGACCATGATCCAGAGAGATGCCCGCCCTTGACCTGCCCTGACAAAGCCTTTAGGGGAAATAAGAGTTTGGAGTTTGAGTCCCACTGATTTACAAAGGTTTGGGGATCATCTTGAGCTTTGATAGATCCTTCCTACCAAAGAATAAGCTCAGATCGACCAAAGTTCAGATTGATCAGCCGATTGAACTGCCTCCTACAATAAAAGTTAGTACTCTTTAGAGGAAGAAAACAGAATCTTGAATCTCTATATCATCCACAATGTCTAAAAGGTAATAAAAATTAGCCAAGTAATGAGACATGAAAATGTGACCCATAGTCAAGGAAAGTAGTCAATAGAAACTGACCTTGAGATAGCTTAGATGTTGGATTTACCAGTTAACTTAGTTGTAATTGGAATCTTAGGAGAAGCAAATGAGAATGGGGAAAAAAAGTTATTTGAAGATGTAATGGCCAAAAATTTCCCCAAGCTTGATAAAAATTTATAGACATAGGCATATCATAGGAAAATGGTGAAAACCAAAGATACAGAAAAATTTTTTAAAATTTTCCAGAAAAAAAATAGATACATTCCACAGGGGAAACAATGTTAAGATCAACAACTGACTTCCCATCTGAAAAAAATTAGTCCAGAAGACAATGGAGTGATCTCTCTATTGTAAGGGGACTAATCCTATCAATAAAAGTTCTTAATGAGTCCTTATAAGGGTACTTTATTAATCTAGGAAGGAGAATTCACACACAAACACACACCAGTTATTTATAACTAATATCACACTTAATAGATATTTTTAAAATTATAGGCAAAGAAAAAGGTCTATATTCATTCAGGTTATTTAACAAGTAACTAAGATTCAATTCCTTATCTCATATTTCTCTCAATTGTCTGCTAAATTTTCACACATTTATTTAAATTATACTTAATTTTTTTATTTTCTCAGTTACATTGTTAGGATTGTTAAATTATACTGTTTAAATTATTTTTATTCAAATTATATTATTAGAAGTTGCTAAGATAGATTTTTGAAAGCATGCATCTTTTCTATGGTGGAGGTCCATTTCATGATATTTCAGAGTGATAGGGTAAATTTGGAAAGATGGTCGTTTTCTTTTTCTTTTTCTTTTGTTAATCCTCATCCAAGGATATTTGGATTTATTGATTTATTATTATTATTATTATTATTATTATTATTATTTTTTAGAGAGAGTGGAAGGGAGGGGGAGAAATAGAGAGAAACATTGATATGAGAGAGAGACACATCGATTGGTTGCCTCCTGCAAGCACCTCAACCAGGGCCAGGATCCAGTCAGCAACCGAGGTACCTGCCCTTGACTAGATTCAACCCAGGACCCTTCAGTTCGTGGGCGGATGCTCTATCCACTGAGCAAAACTGTCTAGGGCAGTGATGGCGAACCTTTTGAGCTCGGCGTGTCAGCATTTTGAAAAACCCTAACTTAACTCTGGTGCCGTGTCACATATAGAAATTTTTTGATCTTTGCAACCATAGTAAAACAAAGACTTCTATTTTTGATATTTATTTTTTATTTAAATGCCATTTAACAAAGAAAAATCAACCAAAAAAATGAGTTCGCGAGTCACCTCTGACACGCGTGTCATAGGTTCGCCATCACTGGTCTAGGGTGATGGCCATTTTCAATCACTTTATTTTGGGGGCCCTCTAAGAAATCAACTTATACTAAAATTTATCTTGTTTATGACTTGACGCATTTTTTATTAGAATAAGATTAACAAATAATACTTAACTCTACCAAAAGTTTAATGAATTGCTTTTGTAAAAATAAAAGAGTAGCAAATATTGCTATTAGTGAAGGTGATTAGTATCCCCAGGGAACATGCAGACTTTATTTCTTTATTTTTAATATGAAATTATGTCCTGTTTTATAGTAATTCTGCATGACAAGGTTCTTAAAATATATTATTTTTATATAGTACTAAATATTATATTTCTGAAGAAAGAATTTATAGTGACATATAATCCATAGTACGAGTTACGATCACGTAAGTTATTGTATGTGGTTAATTTGAACTTCTAACCTGTGACCACCAATCTGATATAGACAAATTAGATTTCCAGAATGCATTAACCATGAGTGATTTTATATTTTTATTTCTTGATTGATGAAATCTGTCTTTCTTCTCCTCATAGTGTAGGTTTTGGAAATACTGCTTGAGACTAAAGAGGATAATAATTAAAATAATATATTTTTTCTCTTATTCAAAATTTAATACATTTATTATAGAAATTTGAGAAGTACAAGAATAACAAATAAAATATTAGCCTGTAATTCCACTACCGAGGAGTAATTATAGGTAACATTTTAAAGTATAGTCCTTCAGCTTTGTTTCCTATGTATTTGTTGTAACTAAATACATATATTTATAATATTGAGCTCATACTCTTTATGCAAGTTTTGTCTTGCCCCACCAATATTGCGACATTAATTTAATTTCCTTATCTACAATGCCATTTTCTCTTCAAAACTGTGTGAAAAAATAACATTCTACATCTAATTTATTTTCTTCTGTGATAAAGCTTTAAAAGTCACATGTTTAAAATTAAATTTATTGGAGTGGCTAAGGTTTCAAGTGTACATTTCTGTGATACCTGATCTTGTATATTGCATTGTGTGCCCACCACCCAAAGTCAGTCTTCTTCCATCACCATATATTTGACGCCTTTTACCCTTTACTACCTCCTCAAGCTGCTTCCCTCTGTGTGTATGAGTTTTTATTTGTTTTTATTGTTGGTTCATTTATTGCTTTCAGTTTTATACATCACATGTGAGTGAAATCATATGGTTCCTAACTTTGTCTGTTGGACTTATTTCGCTTAGCGTTATATTCTCAAGCAAGAGGAAATAAAAGCCACACTTTAACCACTCTTCATAATTATTTCCCTTGCTGCTAGTCTTCACTAGCAAGACATCACTGGAGTTCTCTTAAAAAAAGAAGTTGTGTGATGCATTTGAAGAAAATATAAGGAATAATAAAATTAACAGCTGCCTGTTTACTACTCTATAGCAGAAAGAATATTATTCTTGGAGTTTAAGTGCCCATTTCATTTACAATACACTAGAGGCCCGGTGCACGAAATGCGTGCACTTGGGGGAGGGCTCCCTCAGCTTGGCC